TAAAAACCACCCATTTAGAGTAAGAGGTAATCTAGATTGTAGTTTTGTACCAACCGAGTTTTAATGCTTTCTTTTAGATGGATTAACTAGATTTATCTTGCAGTTTGAGAGCAAGTACACAAAATGCAGCAGTTACCAAACTTCACTGCATGTTGGATTCATAGGAGATCTTTGAAAAATAACTGATGCCTGGCTCCATACTTGAACATTTGGATTTAATTGATGTGGACTGTGATCTGGTATTGGGATTTGTGAAAACTCCCTAAGTAATTTTAACATGAGCGTGGACTTCCCAGGTGATGCTAGTGGTAAGGAATCTTCCTGCCAATGCAGGAGACAGAAGAGACATGGGTTCAATCTCTGGGTCAGGGAGATTCCCTAGAATAAGAAATATCAACCCACTCCAGTATCCTTGCCTGGAAAATCCCATGGACAGAGGAGACTGGTAGGCTACAATCCATGGGGTGGCAGAGGTTGGACATGACTAAGTGACTTAGCACACACACACGTGTGGGAGCTACCATCACAGAGACTAACAATGAATTCTATAGCTTCCCAGGTTAAAACTCAGCTTCTCCATTTGCCAAGTGCATAACTGTGGAAATATCACATCCCTAACTAACAGCAATAATTTCAGTTATTGTGAGGTTTTAATGTAAAAACAAAGTGCCTAGTACATAGTCAATGCTTAATAAATATTAGCTAAAGTGAATCACTTATGAAAATCATGCTTGAGTTTCAGCCCAAATAAGCCTATTTGTATGATTTCCTTATGAATGTCTTAGATTAATTTTGTTCATTCAAAATGTATTTACTGAAAAAATTTGCGTTTATTTTCTATGGTTGCCATAACAAATGACCAAGAGCTTAGTGATTTCAGACAACACAAATGTTTTATCTTAGAGTTTTGTAGGTCAGAAGTCCAACACAAATCTCACTGGGCTAAAACCAAGATGTTGGCAGGGCTACGTTTGCTTCTGGAGGCCCTAGAGGAGAATCTGTTTCCTCACTTTTTTCAGCTTGTTGTGAGACCTCCCACTCTCCTTGGCTCCTGACTCCCCTCTCCTCTGTCTTCAGGGCCAGTGATGTTGCATCTCTTTGACCCTTTTTCCATAGTCACATCTCCTGCTGACTAACCCCATCTGGAAATGGTTCTCTGATTTTAAAGATTCGTGTGATTAGATCGGGGGTCCCCCTGGAAATATATAGGCTAACCTCCTTGTCAAGATCTGTAGTCTCAGCCACATTTCTTAAGTTCTTTGTGCAATGTGAGCTAAAAGATACAGAGGTTCCAGAGGAATTAGGGTGTGGGCATCTTTAGGGAACCATCATTTCATCATTCTTACTATCACAGAATTACTGTGGCCTTGTATCATGTTCTTTTTATGTGTTCTCTTGGATAGCAAAAATCCCCCCATTCCTTGAAATTTGAGAAAACTGCTTGTTTTGAAAAGTACATTTCCATTCAAGTCTTACAGAAATTATTATAAAATGTTAACCAATCATGTCCACCCATGTCATCTAATAATTGACAAATGTAGTAAGCAATTAACCAAATCAATCCCAAGAAGAGGTAGTAGTGATTCTCTGCTAACTTTTTAAACTTACTGTCTGTTGTTTCTTCTTAGGATTTAGCCACAAATCTTTTACCCAATTTCCCTCAGAACTTTAGTAGGTTTTTAAAAAGTGTTAGTGCCCTTTCCCATTATCATAGCACTTTACCTCTGTAGATTCCAAGCACCACACAGACCCCTTCTCCAGCCAAAAAGCTACTGGAGCAAAAATAAGTAACAAGAACCTACCAGAGCCGGTCATGTTTCTTGACACTATTCACACCTCTCTGGATAATCCATCATTTCTCTGCAGCACCAATTGACCCTGAAAATCCTGGGCAAGTTCCCAGAAACCTGTGAGCTGGCCCCTCACATTTTATCCCAGGGAGTTACTGCTATAACCTGGAAAGATTTGTCTGAACAAATGTCCTCCTTCCAGGCAAAGCCTCACCTTGAAAATGCACACACTGAGATTTCAACTTGGCACTCCCGCGTGCACTTGCGGCTCAGAAAGACTAGCTCGACCACACCATCAAGTTCAAGGGAGCCACGTACTTACATTCCAGGCTTTCTTTATCTAAGGCAGCTGTGGCTCATTAGAATGGCTCACATTCTCCTGCCTCACCCCCTTGTTTCTCTCCTCTTCTGTCTATAGAGTGACTGATAACAGTCCATCTTTCCCCCATTCCTGGAGGTGAAGACTGGGGAGTCAAGGCCCGTATAGTCTTATCGTGATGGAGGGCACACAGGTAGATAAGGTGAGGTAAGTACATCAGGGCCAGATAATGGAAGGCTCTGGATGCTGGACGAGGGATTTGGGGTTGATTCATTAAATGATAGGGAAACATCCTGAACTCCTGGTTAGAAGAGTGACATGAAGATAGTGGTATTTCAAAAGAACAATCTGAGAGTGCCATGTGTGATGACTTAGAAGCAGACAGAAAACAGAAGAGATGCCAGTTAGGAGACTGTCACACAAACCAATTCCAAGTTGATAAGAGCCTGCAACAGAATGAAGAGATATATAAAGCAGGAGCTAGGATAAGTCCAAGAGGCTTCAAGAAGGGAGAATCCCCTGGGCTTAGGGACTCATTTTATACAGGTGATTCATTTGAGAGAGACTTCCAAGATGGCTCTAAAATATCAGACTAAAGCCGTAGAGAAATGGTGGTGCTGCTGACAGAGGTACGGGGACTGGGAAGGAAATTTGGTTTGAAACTGTGGATTGAATTAAGTCATTAACACGCTTATGTTATTCTTTGATTAAAATCCATCAATAGTTTCTCACTGCGGTTGATATAAATTTCAAAGCTTAACATCACCCACAAGGGTCTGCTTTAAGTCTCTATAATTTTCTCTCTCACAATTCTTCTGATAGTAAATATCTTTCAGTATATTGCCAGGATCAAATCAGAGTTGGACCCATGCCTGGCCAAACATAGAACTCCAATACTGTGATTATTTCAAGGAATGTGGGGTATCATTTAGGGATGCCAGTTTAAAAAAAAATAAAAAAATAAAAAAAAAAAAACAGTGGGAGAAGACTCTCCCATTCTCTGGTATAGGAGCAATAAAAATGATATAGCCTTGTGATTTCTAGTAGACAGCTTGCCACCAAATGGAGGAAGTCTCTTTAAGGAGACCAAGCAGAGACAAGCAGAACTATAGATGGAAAGAGAGACAGGAACATGAGCCGTCATATAAATTCTAGGATCCAGCCAAATACACTAGGTCACATCTTAGCTTTCCCAGTTATATGTGCTAATCAATTTCCCTTTTAGCCCAAACTTAGGCTTCTGTCACTTTAAGTCCAAAATTCTGATTACTCTATCACCCCAAGGCTGCTCATTTGCATGAAATGCTTTTCCCTCTACTCTTTCTGTAGCTAATTTCCTTTTGTTTTCAGAACTTGGTTTAAATATTACCTTCTCAGAGGGCCTTAAGCCAAAGCATCAATCCAAATTTGGTCCCTTTTTCCTGTTCTCTCAAATTAGCTTATTATTTTTCTTTATAGTTTCTCATATAATTTGTAGTGACATTTTTATATGTGTTTACTTGTTGAAGATCTGTCTTCTTAATATTACCCTACACATTACCCTTTGCACCCTCTGGAAGTCCCACTAGCTGATTATAACAGAAAAATTTAAGACATAAATCCAAATTTTAAAAAAAGTACATTTTGGCAGCTAGAAAGCAGATGAGTAGCAATCGACCTAGAAAATCCAAGAAAACTGTGTCTGAAACCTGGGCACAGCTGAGATACAGCCTGATCTACACCAGAGAAGTACTAAAAGACTTGGGAATTCTTAGCATAAGATTCCTGTGAATGTAGGAGGCAGACATCAAGCAAATCCATTTTAGAAACAGATCATCAGAAACCCTCCCCTGCCTAGTGTATGGTGTCCCTCCCTCACCCAACAGAAGACTGGAGGTATCTCTGAGTAGAAATGAAATTTCTCTGGACTAGAAGATGCCAGGCACAGTGGAGAGCTGGGTGCAGGACTAAAGCCAGTTGATTAAGTGTAAGTTTTCAAATTAAATGTGCAAATAGACTTCCATCTGGAAAGAGGGATTTTACTCCAAGGGCAGAAAATTCAGTCCTTCTTTGTGGAATCTGATCAGCCCTGGATAAGACCTACAGATATTAACCTCAGGACTTGCCTAACTTAATGGCCCAGCTTAAATCACACTTTAGAAAAGTGCCATCCTCAGGCCTAGACTTTGCAAGCTGATTCTCAGTATCTCCCTCTTAAACAAAGGTCAACACCCAAGTATCACTAGATCTTTAAAGAAAACTCGAAAATGAAAGATAGGTGTTAAACCATATGGAAATTTTAAAAACTTGAAGAGACAATACAGAGATAGGAAAACTTTTAAAGTAATTATTATTAAAATCCTCAAATAAAAAGAGAGTGCATTAATAAAGGAAAAGAAAGGACTTTAATGGGGAAAAAAAAAAGAACACTAGGAGACAAAAAAAAAAAAAAAGCCTTGTAAATTAAAAACAAATAGTAGAACAAAAAACTCAGTAGATGGATTGGAATAAAATATGACCAGTTTTAATGAGTTGGGCAAAAGGACAAAAAGATGAAAAGTTGGAGAGGAAAAGTATAAAATTTAAAGGACAATGCCACATCTAAAGAATAGGAATTCCAGTAAGAAACAGAAAATAGAAATGAAATCACCAGAGAAATAATTCCAAAGAATTTACCCAAATGCTCAAAAGGATAGATGCACAGAGATCCATGTGAAAGCACATCATGATGAAATTCCTTAACACCAGAGATTATAGGAATGTTCTAAAAGTTTCCAGAGAAAAAGAAATGAATATATACAAAATATCAAAATTATAATAGTATAGAACTCTTCAACAGCAACAAGAGAACAAAAGACAATGAGGTGATGTCTTCAAAATTCTGAGAGAACATGGTTCCAACCTAGAACTCTATAGCTAGTCATAAATGTGAATATAGGGCAGAGCCATTTTTAGAGATGCAGAATATATTTTAAAAAAAGTAAACTTGTGGCCAATTCATGTTGCTGTATGGCAAAAACCATCACAATGTTGTAAAGTAAGTATCCTCCAATTAAAATAAATAAATTTAAGACAAAAAGAAAAGTAAAGGGACTCTTCAGGACAATAGTGAAGAGAAAGTGAAAGATGAATGCCTCCATGGTGTGAAGGTCACCCAGAGTTAACTAGAACAGATTCAAAGACTCTGGAAAAGACTTCACAAAAATGCAGTTATTATCTCAACAAATATATTTGAATATCATTGAAAAGAGATTGCCTGAGGGGAAATTAGGGATAAATTAACTATTTAAGTACATGGAAAACTATACAAATAAAAACTGAAATTATTAGTATGCTATTATTATTAATCTCAGAAAAAATTAAAAGTTGCACAAAGAAAATAAAAACAAAATTTCTAACACTTTAGTGTTTAGATGACATGCATTATCCTACTCTTTTTTTTTATTGAGATATAATTGCTTTACAATATTGTGTTAGTTTCTGCTACACAATGAAGTAAATAAGCCATATGCATACATATACCCCTCACCCAGCCTTGGACCTTCCTCCCACCCCAGCCCCTCACCCACTCCCCAGGTCATCACAGAGCACTGAGCTGTGCTTTATAGAAACTTCTCACTAGCTATCTATTTACACACAGCAACTTTTGATTTTCATCTCAATCTCCCAATTTGTCCCAACTTCCCCTTCCAACTCTGTGTCCACATGTCCATTCTCTACATCTGCATCTCTATTCCTGCCTTGGAAATAGGTTCACCTGAACCTTTTTTCTAGATTCTACATATATGCATCAATATACTTTTTCTTTTCTTTTTCTTTCTGACATACTGCACTCTGTAATGCTGAACACACTTCTTCAATTTGTAAGTCTCTAGGTCTATCCACAATCCTACAAATGACCCTATTTTTTTCCTTTTAGTGGCTGAGTAATATTCCATTATGTAATATTTCACATGTACCACATTTTCCTTATTCATTCATCTGCTGTTGGACATTTAGGTCATTTTCAAGTCCTGTCTATTGTAAATAGTGCTGCAATGAACATTGGGGTACATGTGGCCTTTTGAATTGCTGGGTCATATGATAGTCCTATGTTTAGTTTTTTAAGGAACCTCTAAACCTCTCTCTATAATGGCTGAGTCAATTTACATTCCCATCAACAGTTCAAGAGGGTTCCTTTTTCTCCATATCCTTTCTAGCATTTATTGTTTATATATTTTTTGACAATAGCCTTTCTGACCAGTGTTAGGTGATACCTCATTGTAGTTCTGATTTGCATTTCTCTAATAATTCGTGATGTCAAGCATATTTTTGTGTGTCTCTTGACCATCTGTATGTCTTCTTTGGAGAAATGTATGTTTGGGTCTTACACCCGTATTTTTATTATGTTTTTTTCTTGTTGAGTTTCATGTATATTTTGGAGATTAATTATTTGTCTGTTACTTCATTTTCAAATATTTTCTCCCATTCTGAGGGTTGTATTTTCTTTTTATTTGCAGTTTCCTTTGCTGTGTAAAAGCTTTTAAGTTTAACTAAGTCCCATTTGTTTATTTTTGTTTTCATTTTCATCTCTCTAGGAATAGGGTCAAAAAAGATCTTGCTGTGATTTATGTCAGAGAATTTTTCCTATGTTTTCCTCTGAGTTTTATAGTATCTGGTCTTACATTTAGGTTTTAAATCCATTCTAACTCTTTTTGTATTTGCTAACTTATTAACTTCTAATCATCAAAACAACCCAATGTTGTAGGTACTATAATTACCTCATTCCACAGTTGAAGAAACTGAGACACAGATATTAAGGAACTTACTCAAATTCAATCTAATGGTGAGTACTGTCAATGAGGTTTGAATCCAGGCAGTTGGATTCTAGATACAGGTCTAATAAATTACTTTGCCTGTCAAAATAGCCATAGGACATTACTTTTCTCCATTGTAAGCAGTATTTTCATAGTCAAATAAAAACAGTGATTATTCACTTATCCCAAATTACAAGGTGACCACTCTGGAAGACTAAGAAAAGTGTATAGGTATGATGTGGTATATAGGAAAGGAAACTCAACCATCAGTGTCTGTGTTGGAAGTCAACAGTGAAGACTTTTAAAAAATAGAACGCAATAGAATAAGCATCATTTTTAGAGATTTAGAGATAAGTGCCCCACCAAATCAGTTAAAAGAATTGAATGCAGTTTCCACAAGTAGGAAATGGCATAGTATGAGGGATTTCCTTTAGCGAACTAATTCTATCAAGCCTTGTAGAAATATTTTACTCTTTAAACTATGTGCTTGTATAACTTTAGTATTTTTAAGCCACTGTTAAAGGTTTAAGTATCACTAAATTGTATTTAAGCTGTGAGTATGGGTGACCTCTCAGCATGAGCAGAGAGGAAAGGGCACAAGGACAGAATGCTTAAAGGCTTACATCGCCCAAGACAGGAGGCCAGAGGAATAAGAGGGACAGATACAAGGAAACACTAAAGAGGAAAGTCAAAGGGCTCAGAGGAGTCCAGTGACCTTGAAAGCAAAGGCGGAGAGAGCACTGGGAAGGAGGGAGGCACGCACAGAGATGCAAAGAAGGGGAAGACAGTGAGAATAGCAACTGAGCCAAAATTGCATTTCAGTTTGAGAAATAGTTGGGGAGTAAAGAGGTTGAAGAGATTTATAGGGGGAGCTGTTGCTAAAGCTTCAAAGGAGTGAGTCCAGACCATAGCTCTCAGTGTAGCGGGGAATCCTAAAGAAGTCACTTCCCGGGCATAGGCGCTCCCTACCTGAAGGGCTCCCCAGCTGATTTGATTTTTTTTTTCCCTCAAGTGTGCTACCAGTGGAGCAGTGGTCTCTTCAGAAACTGAAAGCCTGACAGGAAACCATTACTCTTACTGCCAAGGAGCTTGTTGACATGAGGAAAATGACATGGGTAGTTTCTGGTGATGGTGGCAGGCCATGTTTAGTGATGCCAAGGCAAAGGAATCATAATATCTAGAAAAGAATATTTCCATGTCCACCAGATAAATTCTAGCCAAATGTTGCCCCAAGAAAAGTGAGCTCCTTTGGCTTTGATGACAAGTACTGAAGAGCAAAGTCCTCCTTCCCCCTCTTGATGAGCCCCCGATTATTGGTTACATGAATCAGGAGACAAGCTTTGGGGCAGGATCACAGTGAGCCCAGCATCAGACCTGAAGATAAGTGAGAGGTCACTGTTTAATTTCAAGGAAAACACAAGTACATGCTGAAGAAGAGAGACGCCACCCGGCAGCATTAAAGTGGAGCCTCCAGAATGCGATTGTGATCCGGGGGCGGGAAGGTGAGAGCATGCTCTTGGCTCCCACAAAGTAGGCATGCGACAGTGGGAGATGAAAGCATTCTCAACATCTCCTCCCACAACTGTAGGAGGTGTCCTGTCCTTTTCACCTGCCAGTCATGTGACCGGACAGTTACCGGCAGGGGATGTCTGTAGATTTACACCACGTTGAAATGTTTTAGACACATGTCAGAGTGCTGTTTTCTTCAAGTGGAAGATATCAGAAAAGTGTACATTGGTCTCTAGTTGTCCATCAATATGTAAGATTCAATTGTTCACTGAAGTTGCAGATTGCTTCCTTTTACTGAGGGACAGTTCCAGAGAATGATGGTTCTTTAAACACATAAATTCTACCTGCAGATAAGAGATTACCAAGGTTCATGTAAAATTAGCATTGCTCCTGAGAGCTATACTCAAGTGAAAAATATTTTGGATGAATCATGTATCCATTCTTTCTGTATTTTCATACCATTCAGAGGCAAAGCCAACACACACACACATACATATACACACATGAACAGGGGATTGAGGCTCACATAAAACCTGCACCTTCAGTTACTCTGTTCAATCCTCACCCTCCCACACCCTCAGTACCTAAATGCTGCTGTTTAGTCACTAAGTTGTGTACAACTCCTTGCAGTCCCATGGACTCTAGCCCACCAGGCTCCTCTGTCAGCGGGATTTCCCCGGGCAAGAATATTGGAGTAGATTGAGTACTGGAGTGGATTGCCATTTCCTCCTCTGGGGGCTCTTACTGACCCAGGGATGAAAACCATGTCTCCTGTTTGGCAGGTGGATTCTTTACTACTGAGCCACCTTTGAAGCCCCAGAGAGGGAAAGTAAATAAGTGGAAAGAGGGAAGGTGTAGGTATGGGGATGTTGTCAGATATCCTGGAGGAAGGATCGAGGACCACTTGCTTGCTCACCTCCCCCATCCTGACCCTCCCTCCACCCTGCTCCAAAGGAAAGAAAATTTGAGGCTGTCAATCTTCTCTAGCATATCCTAGAGTATAGATGACTCCAACAGAACAGCAGGCAGTGATCCAAAAACAGATGCCAGGCTAGGGAACAGACAACACTGGGCCTCTCCTCACCAATGTACCACCCCACCTGCACCTCTGAGAAAAAACGAGCTTCTAACAAATGAGAATATATGTCCTATGGGAGACTGTGTCTGATGCCAAGTCTGGGCTTGAGCTCACTCTTGATGAGGCAGCAAAGACTCTGTGGTATTAGAGGCACAGTGGAGAAGTGAAACAGGTGGACAGGGGGGGCAGCCCATTTAGTCTACATCTCAGATGTCCATTTAGGTTTTCCTAATAGCTCAGTTGGTAAAGAATTTGTCTGCAATACAAGAGACCCTGGGTTGATTCCTGGGTCAGGAAGATCTGCTGGAGAAAGGACAGGCTACCCACTCCAGTATTCTTGGGCTTCCCTTGTTGCTCAGCTGGTAAAGAATCCACCTGCAGTGCAGAAGACCTGGGTTTGATCCCTGGATTGGGAAGATCCCCTAGAGAAGGGAAAGGCTACCCACTCCAGTATTTTGGCCTGGAGAATTCCGTGGACTGTATAGTCCACGGGGTCACAAAGAGTCAGACACAACTGAGCAACTTTCACTCACTCAGATGTCCATTTACCAGCTGTGTAACAGTAGGCAAGTTATTTAACCTCTCTTTGTCTCTGTTTCCTAAACTCTAAAATGGAGTGAATGATAGTATTTATTTCATATGATTATTTTGTTGGAATTAAATAACAGAAGCTCCTTAAATGCTAGCTATTATTTTGTGTATTAATAAGGTCTCTAGACCCCAAATAGCCTTTCCCATCAAGTTGTTATGTACCTGAAATTCTACTTTTGGAAAATTATTTTTTGGATAAAAAATTAAGGGTCTAGAAGAGTCTCCAGCCTTATTAGAAAGCAAAATCTTCCTATGATGCAAAAAAATTACCTATGAATCTCATGTTTTTGAAACAGTTTTTCTAATTTCTTTCAAGGTCACACCCAAGAGAAAGGTCCCCTTAAAAAAAAACTCCCTATATTTTTTTTGCCTTTTTTCTTTAACCTGCTTCCACTCATGGCTTGTCTTAAAGGACTCCTAGTATTCCCTGGTGACATGAGTTTCCCTTAAACCTCCTCCCCAATCTACCTTCCTATGTTCAAGATCAGGAGAAGCTAGTGTTTCCTACAACTTGACTGGCACGCCTACAATTTTTTCCTAACATTTGTCCAGTCTGTCTTACTTCCTCTGATTCACTTTCCCCCAGTACCTACAGTATATCTGTCTGCAACAATTCCTCTGACATCTCAAATCCACCACATCAGAATCATTTCTCACACTGCACCACTCCTACACAAAATCCCTCTGCCCATGGCAGTTCTCCACTCTGCTTCTGCCAAAGGAATTGCACATTTTGCAGACTAGCCACCTAGAATTAACTCTGATTCTTCTAACCTTGCATGAATACATTCAGTCACTAAAGTGTTTGAGGTCTACATATAAAGTATGTCTCAAACACTCTCAGTGCCCATGCCCTCTATCATCAGCCCTTATACATTGCACTTGCACTTTTGCAATAAGCTCCTAACTGGTTTTCCCACATCCTATTATTTCCCTTCCCATCTAATGAGCACACTGCCTCAGACTTTAAGCAGACACTTTCTTATTCAAAATAATGTAGTGACTCCCCAAAATCTGGCAAAATAAACTCAGTGCTTCAGCTCTAAACTCCCTTTTCAGCCCCCAATCCTATTCTTTTCTGTCTCTACCCAACATTCCAGTTAAACTGAATTGCTGTGGGATATCACTACCCCCTCATACAAACCATTCTTACTCCACATTTCTCCCTGAGCTCTGTGTATCTAAGATGAACTTATATCCTAACTCCACATAGACTGCGTTGGTGTAAATACTTTGCCTTGTTTAATCTCTGGGGGTTTGAACAAGATAGTTAATCTCCCTGGACTCAGAAGTAACTCTGGAAATCGTAAAATTGTAAGATGCTGTTGGGAGAGTTCAGAGAAAGACTATAATATAAAGAAGTTGCTCAGTTGTTCAGTCATGTCCGACTCTTTGCGACCCCATGAATCGCAGCATGCCAGGCCTCCCTGTCCATCACAAACTCCCGGAGTTTACTCAAACTGATGCCCATTGAGTCGGTGATGCCATCCAGCCATCTCATCCTCTGTCATCCCCTTCTCCTCCTGCCCCCAATCCCTCCCAGCAACAGGGTCTTTTCCAATGAGTCAACTCTTCACATGAGGTGGCCAAAGTATTGCAGTTTCAGCTTCAGCATCAGTCCTTCCAATGAACACCCAGGACTGATCTCCTCTAGGATGGACTGGTTGGATCTCCTTGCTCTCCAAGGGACTCTCAAGAGTCTTCTCCAACACCACAGTTCAAAAGCATCAATTCTTCGGTGCTCAGCTTTCTTCACAGACCAGCTCTTACATCCATATATGACCACTGGAAAAACCATAGCCTTGACCAGATGGACCTTTGTTGGCAAAGTAATGTCTCTGCTTTTTAATATGATATCTAGGTTGGTCATAACTTTCCTTCCAAGGAGTAAGCGTCTTTTAATTTCATGGCTGCAGTCACCATCTGCAGTGATTTTGGAGCCCAAAAAATAAAAGCTGACACTGTTTCCACTGTCTCCCCACCTATTTCCCATGAGGTGATGGGACCAGATGCCATGATCTTGGTTTTCTGAATATTAAGCTTTAAGCCAACTTTTTCACTCTCCTCTTTCACTTTCATCAAGAGGCTTTTTAGTTTGTCTTCAGTTTCTGCCATAGGGGTGGTGTCATCTGCATATCTGAGGTTATTGATATTTCTCCCGGCAATCTTGATTCCAGCTTATGCTTCTTCCAGACCAGCATTTCTCATGATGTATTACCACTCATCAAATAGAATCTATCTTTAAGGTTTAACTCAAGTGGAATCCCCTATAGGAACTCCCCCTGATTACCCCCAATAAAATAGTCCTTCATTTTTTTCTTCCTCCCTCCTTTCCTTTCTTCCTTCCTTTCTTTTTTCCTTTCAGGTCACAAGCATTCATGGAGCAAATCCTCCATGTCAGACGCCAGGCTGATCTTGGGCACCTACACAAGAGAAATGTGGTTGTGACCCTACAGCCTAGAGGGAAAGAAAGTGTGTATAGAAATGGGGGTACATAAGGGGCATCCCTCATAGCTCAGTCAGTAAAGAATCCACCTGCAATGTAGGAGTCCGCCTGCCATGCAGGAGACCCAGATTTGATCCCTGGGTCAGGAATACCCTTTGGAGAAGAAAATGGCAACCCATTCCAGTATTCTTGCCTGGGAAATTCCATGGACATAGGAGCTTGGCAGGCTACAATCCATGGCACCACAAGAGTTGGACACCGGTTAGCGACTAAACCACTACCACCAATAGGTGTCACAAATGCATACAAGATGAATGAGAGAATAAAACTGCCAGATCAGTCCAGGGAGAGCTAGTTGGTGATGGCAAATTGAGAACTGAGTTGGAAGTGATGAGAAGCAGCTTCCCAGGCCACCATGTATGGAGGAGTCTCCTGAGCAGAGGGCGACCAGGTACAACGGCTGAGAAGCACCAGGGAACAAGGTTCTTCTAGGGGTGCTTATAGCAATGTGGTATGAACACTGAAGCAAAATCATTTCAGGCACTTTTACAAATTCAGAACCCACTTCAAAGTCACTGAATAAAAATACTTGTGATTAGGGCCTAAGAGAATAAACTTCAGACAAGCGTCAGAGATGATTCTTCTATGTATTATAAGAATGATGCTTCCTTTGGGGTCACAGAGACCCACCATATGGCTTCAGACAAAGAAACTGGATGAAAACAGATGAGGTAATAAAGGCAATGGATGTGTAAAAATGCAGTCTTCTTGAATTTTGGAATTTCAGAATTTTTTTAAAGTAAATTAGAACACTAAGCAGCCATTAAAAATAACGTTGTAAAATGTTTTTCTATTGAACTATGTTCCTGCAAGAAAAGAAAAAACGCATATTCAAGTTGTAAAAGTTTATATATAGAGTTAGACTAATAGATATAATCTCATTTTTATAAGAAAAGTAAGTTTTTGTATATATGTGCAGAGGAAAATATCTTGAAAAATATGTTTCAAAATATTAGTGATCTAAGCAGAGGAAGTGTGTGTAATTTGAGTGGAGACTTTATGGTTTTCCTAAATGAATATATATTTTATGTTTAATTTTTTTCAAAGCAGTATAAGTTCCTTCCTTTCAGGGTAAATAGCCAGAACTAAATTGGAATTCTAATTGAGTGACCTGAGGCTGTGAGAACAAGGAAGGTTTGACCTCAGGACGGGTGGCAGTGACACAGCCCAGACTCTTCACAGGGTGTTGGACCTTCGTCTGGCCTGGACTAACTTCTAGCAGCAGGGCCTGTGAGGAGAAAGAACTTGAGGTGAGGCCTCTCCAGCCTTGGTCAAAGACCCAGCTGTGAGGTCATGGAACACAGAGGAGAAGAAATAAAGCCAAGGCAGGCAGCCCTCAGTGGAGGTCTGGCACTGGACAAATGGTTCTAGTATTTTCACCATGAACTTCTTTGCCTTAAATAACTTTGCTATATTTTTGCAGCATCACTAATTGACTATAAGTCCATTTTACTGTAAAAGACAAAACAAAAAAAAAAAATTAAAGAAGAACATGGAAAAAGACATAACAAAATGTGAGAAATGAACAAAATTTTAAGAGTTTTATTGTGAAACACAAAATATTAGAATACACTTGAAATGTGTGGAAATTCAATATCTCATATATAACTGATTTTATTTTGTGGGTTTTATCCAAACACTTGTCTTCCAAATCTTTCATTTATATTATTTTAAACTTATTGGTTTCTTTTTTTTTCTTTTTTTTTTTTTTGAGCCCTATCCTGGTTCACTTTTTTTCTTTTTCACTAAAATCCCCCCCTTCATTAAGAGAGGTATCACGTTCCAAACTCCAGGGTGCACATTTGTAACTAAGTTTTGTGTGGCATTGTGAGAGCCACTTCTCTGTTTGCTCTCAGCATGCTGTCACTTGCCCATTGACAGACGTTCCACATTCTATGGAAAATGTGGGTGCAACTCTGCAGTTTCTAAGCCCTCAGTTTCAACCTGTTTCTCCTCCAACATAGTGGGTTTCAAAATAAGAAACCAACTTTTGGGGCAAATTGCTGTCATCATCATGACTTTTTTTTTTATCATGACTTTTGTATATTATGTCAGAGCAAACTGTCAACCAGTCATTTCATCTTTTATGGCAAAATTGCCTCATGGCCAGTTGTTATGCTGCTAACATGTTTGTGGCAATAATGCTTGTGCAAAGATATCTACAGCAGAGATATTTACAGCAAAAATACTAAATGTGAGCCAGATCCAGAGCATGCCCTGTGGCCACCAGAATTTGTGCTGGAAGCAGTCATCCTTCCCTCCTAGTATGGAAGTTTCTAGAAATCAGAGCTTGTATCAAGCCTCCCCATAATCCAGGAGAAGATTCAGAAACCAGTGTTATAGAAAAGATTTCTAAAGTATTAAACTCTAAGGGGTCCAATTCATTCCCCAAACCTGTGATCCTTTAAATTACTGTATTCTATTTGTAAAACAAGACATGCTACATCACAACTGTAAAATTATATTTTTCTATGTCTTGTTCCTAAAGTTAACATAATTAAAGGACTAGTCTCATACCCAGTGTTTAGAATCTGTGCTCCATATTCTGTACCCTAGACTACACTATCATCCTGTGCCACGCAGTTATTTAGTGAAAGTCATTATGAATAAATAATGATGTATGGGAACTACTCTTTTACGTAAAATTGCATGTATAATGCAGCTGATACTGGGGATGGAAAAACTTTTCACTGGTCCTATATCATAGCCTATAAACCATGAACATTGAATTAACCCAATAAAAGTGACAATTCTGACCCTGGGCTATACCTATTACTCTATGGGTACAGCTTGCAAGCCAACTCAGATTGTTCTCAGTGTGGTGCTTTACTGAAATACTTATCATCTGGAAACCGTATGTAGTATATATTCTTAATAAATAATAGCACATTTTATTTTGGTTTACTGAAAATTAACAGGGCATTTGGAAAATTGCTGTTATTGTGGGAGCCTGTTTCACATTTGCCTTGGCAGTACAATAGCTATCTAAGTGGAAAACAGGAGAGCCAGTGGCTCTTAAGGGTGGATTTTTTTTCCCCCTCTGCTGTTGGTATTCATAGAAGCCAGGCAGCTGGTAACATTAATGACATGCCATATACTCAGAAGAGATGAAACAAGTCCAGCAAAATTGTTATAGGCTTAACCATATGAAATTGTCATTGTGAGTTGATTAGGTTTGCATTCAGACACAATAAATCCATTTCTCTGCAACTATATTCCAATCCGTAGTCCAAATGGTCTGCAAAGCTTCAAGGCTCTTTAGAGATTGTCTAAGACAGCTTTGTGAGCAAGCCGAGTAGGAAGGCAGAAAGCAATGAGCTCTGGGGGCTAGGCCTATGACAAGTTGCTGAGCGATTATGTATTATTCTCTGATAGTCCCAATCCCTCTCCACCCCATTTCAGAAGCAACCCCGATAAGGCTTTCCAGGCTCCTAACACAATTAAAGAATCAGCACCAAGGTGACTCGTTTCAGTTGGAGAAAATACTTATGAGTAACTACAGAGAGTACAATAATGAGGGGATCCAAGGAGGGGAGAACAGAGACTAAGAGGACCAATAAAAGCAGCAATTTTTCAATGGTCTCACTTGGTACTTTTTCTTCTTTCGCTTGCCAGTCCTACAAAGTAATGACTGTAGGTAAGTGGGGGCCAGGCTACAAGCAACCAATGAATTTAAGACAGGTGGGGAACTGGGACTTTTTACTGCAGTGCTGCAGTCCTTGCACAAAACACAAAAAAATTAAACAGAACTAAAAATAACTGTGTACATGTGTAGTTGGGGCAAATTATGGACAAGAAGATTCAAAAACAAACAAAAAGCCCAGCTGCTACTTCTAGAGAGCCAGGAGCAGAAACAGGGAGTGAGAGAAAGGGTACTGTACATGCCGCCTGACTCAACACATCCAAAGGGATGGGCAAAACGTCTAAACCATCCCTCTAGCCCGACACCTGGACACGCACCCCTACTCTCACCCCATGTAAGGAACAGCTAGCTACTCCCCTGCCTCCCACCTCAGGAACAATCAAGGGAACCTGTTTTTTTGCTCCCTCCTGAGGCTATTGTTCTATACTAAGTCACTTAAGTCAATTCTTTGTGACCGTCTGGACCACAGCCCACCAGGCTCTTCTGTCCATGGGATTTTTCAGGCAAGAATTCTGGAGTGGGTTGCTGTTTAAAAACTTGACTGAGTTTCTTGACTGGCCTCTTATCAATTTCCATGGATTGGGGAAGGCCAAGAACCTTGGTTTGTACCAGTGTTACCGTCCCTCAGCCTTGCATCAGCATTGTCAGCCCTCCCAACCCCTCCTCACCTTATTTGAACTCCTGCCTCTTGCTGTGTTAAAAGATATCCAATACAAATTGGATATTTTCATGGTAAGAGGGATAATTTTCCAAATAAATTCCTCTGTTGACCTTTGTTCTCCATTATAACATAAAATATATATTCTAGTTGATTCATTCATATCAATTCTGTGGGTGTTTGGGTGGGGGTTTGAACTGGTACATTGAGAAACCATGTGATTATTCTTATCTAACAATGCATTTTATTCTTTCTGGATTTAGAAGAATTTGCTTTTTCTTCGTTAATCTCCCTTTTTCCACATCACTGATTCTTGAACATTAATGGTTTTACCATCTATTCAGACACCCAAGTTGGAAACCGAAGTGACCTTTACTTTCATTCTCCTGCTTCCCCTCCCTACCACCCCACAATGATGCCTCCACTGACCCTCACAAACTTACCCACCATGACATCCTTGTCCCTTATCATTTTTTTCCTGGGTTATTATACCCATGTAAGCAACATATCTGCCTTCAGTCTCACTCCTCCCCATCCTATGGTGCCACAAATACACACACACAAAATTATTTTGTAAATTCCAAAAAAAAAAATCACATCCCAGATCAGTGAGCAGATTACCATTTTTGCAGGATTGGAACCACATTTCCAAAGGAGCCAAGCAAGATGTTTAAACAAGGACTCCAGAGCCAAGTTGTCAAGATTCCAATCCCAGCTGTGCCAATTATTAACTTGGTGACTTGAGAGGCACCTCAGTTTCTCATTCTATAAAAGATAGTACCTGTCTCAGTGTTGTGAGGATTAAGTGAGTTAACACTTAACTCACTTAAGTGGCACAGAATAGTGACATATAGTGAAGATTACACACCTTTTGCTACATAAGTGAAATGATGCCCTCACAAAAGGCATTGAAGCCCTTCTCTGCTCATTTTGCTATTTTTTTCACCTCAACTTCCATCACTCCTGACCACACTCTTCACACCTTCCCTCATCAGGCTACTTGCCACATATGTTGCACATATTCTTTTTTTCACTTCAAATATCCTTCTCATTTGTTTTTCCATTTGGGAAAATTCTACTCAACCAGTATTTTATCACTCAGAATTTTATAATAGTGTGTACCCTATAGTTATGGGCTTCCTGGGTGGTAAAGAACCCACCTGCTAATTCAGGAGACATAAGAGACTTGGGTTCAATCCCTGGGTCACGAAGATCACCTGGAGGAGGGCATGGCAACCCACTCCAGTATTCTTGCCTGGAGAATCCCATGGACAGAGGAATTTGGTGGGCTACAGTCCATAGTGTTGCCAAGAGTCAGATACGACTGAAGCGACTTAATATGCAGCATGCAAGCATCCTATTGTTACATAATTTAATGTTCCCAAAGATCTTAAGAATTTAAAATCTTTGAGTTTCAAGGAGTCTCTTTGCATTCACATCTGATAAATTCCATATCTAGAATCATGCATAATAGGTATTTACTAAATACTCAGTGAATGGTTGCTGTTGGAAAGGAGGGAGACAGAGAAAGAAAATAAGAGTACTGAATAATTTTCTCTGTACCAGGCAAAATGCTAAATAATTGACATGGATAATTCAGTCCTAACAACAGCCCTATAAAAGACACTATTACTATCCCCATTTTACAGACAAGGAAAAAAACAGGCACAGAAGTTAGGTGACCTTTTCAACATCAACCTGATGCAAGAATCTGTCCAAATAAATTTCACATGAATCTGCTTCCCATTGATCCCAAAGATGATTCTCTGTTTCCCCAAATTGTCAGCCAACAGAGACACAGGGGAAAGTAGCTTACAGTCACTTGGTGGCAGGGAGGCAGGGTGGGAAGATCAGCAGCTGCCAAGCATTAGCGTGAATCCCAAATCTAAGGTCCACCAAGACTTCCCTTGAGCAAGTCCCGTAACATCACTGATGTTCAGTTTCCTTAACTACAAAATATGCAGAACAGTGCCTATCTCCCACCTTCTAGAATTATTTTGAAGATAAAGGTGATAAAGTAGTCACAACTTCAGTGCTTTACACACAGTGCTAAGTCCCTTAAGTCATGTCTGACTCTGTGACCTTATAGACCATAGGCCACCAGGCTCCTCTGTCATGGGATTCACCAGGCAAAAATGCTGGAGTGGGTTGCCATTTCCTCCTCTAGGGGATCTTCCTGACCCAAGGATAGAACCCATGTCTGTCATATCTCCTGAAATGGCAGGCGGGTTAGGCACCAATATGTGTCACTTATGATAAAGATTAGCTAGTCCTACTGGCTTCTTGGCTGAGGGAAAAATTTAATTATTATTTCCATCTCTGATGGTTTTAAAGACAAGCTTTAATATTTCTTTTAATACACCAGTTAAACCTTGCTTCAAAGAAAATACAATCCACCATTAAGAGTGAAATGCTGTCATTCATATCGCACAGATGGAACAAGTCTCCTTCCAGAATCAAAGAACTCTTTCCAGAGTTCCGGAGTTTCATCTCAGAAATTGAGAAAAGGCAACTTGAATAAACTCAACAATTTTTTTTTGTACATAGGTATAGAAAACCAAAAGGAAACCTAGAAACTGAATAGAAGGGTTGGAAGAATTTCATGTTAATCTTAATTTAATTTTAAATACCTAATCAATTTGTAACTGAAGAAGCCAAGAACTCAGGAAAAATGAAACTTGGCAAAATTAAACCTTTGTTTGACAGGCTTTCACATTGTCTATTTTTCTTGTGGTTTTTGACATTTTTGCAGTATATGATCAAAGACCAGCCCAAGTCTTTTACCCCTGAAATTTAGAACCAGTTACAAGAAGCAACTTAATTTATGACTGTAAAGACCAAGTACATTTTTCACATGGCATAATTAAAACTAGGTCAATGAAAGAAAGGAATGAGAGACGGGAGAGGTTGTCTAAATATTACGCTGATAAATGACAAATCCACCTTGAAACAATTCTTCTGCTATTTCTCTCTTTATTTAGCCATGCCCTCCATTTTTGCATTTAAAGAATACTCAGTTTCCAAGATACCAGATTTCCCAGCCATCCCGTGTTAGTGTGCCAAATGTTGCAGATGGAGCTAAAAGGATCCACAGTAATTGACTGTTCTTACACAGTCAAAAGGCAAACTTCTCCC